TTCACGTAGCATATTCTGCTCGCATTTTTTGCATTTAACAAAGGATAACAATGAAAGGAAATCTATTTCCGCAATATTCTGCGAATGTATAACTATGAATCGTTTTTATCGCGTACGGCTAGACAATGCTTACGAAGCAAAATTTTGTCGTAAGGTCAAGTCAAATCGATGTAAACAACTTGTCACAGTTTGGGAACAGTCTGTACATATATATAATCACAGAAGTTTCTTATCGCGCAGATATTATTATATATCTGCGAAGAATATTTAAGCATTTAAGTAAGCATTTGAATATGAATTAATTTCAAGACTAAAGTAGTGAAAGACGCATACGTAGTAAATTATTCCTATTTTTATTGTAGTATAATATAATATAAATATAAGTAAGAATACATGTTGTGCAATATTTATTGATAAATTAAAATTTGTGCGATATACAGTTTTCTCCTACCCTAAAATATGACGCATGTAAAAAAGAAATTCCAGTAGCTGTTGTTGCTCCACCACCTGCTCGTGGAAGTGTTAAATTTGAGTTATTAAATTTAATTCGTTAGAGGCAAAGAGCTCAAGAACATTCACAAGTTGAACGAGTTGAAGAATATTTCAGTGATGATGATTAAAGATAGAGGTTGTGACAACCGTTCGTTTCAGCGCTCGGACTAGCTCGCCGGAGCCAGGGCTAAAACGTGGTTCGTGCGGAGGGAAAGGCGCGGGATCAGAGTAATCGGAGACTCGAGGTTCGGTGGTAGTAATCTACGTTTATTTCGTGTTTGTCAGGCACCCCCTTGGGATGGAGGCCCTGTTACAGCGGAGTTTATTACGCGCGGACGGACGTATTTACAACTATGTACAAGAAGAGTTTTTCCGGTGTGAGGCCTTTGGCCCCGTGCTCGTGTCGGTGGGGTCGGTTGGACGGGCGGTACGCGGACGCGGTAGCGAAATCGCTCCCCTGCTTTTGCGGTGCGGGTATGAGGGTAAGGAGCCGAACCTCTGCGTGCCCGGTGTCTAGATAACTAGACTCGAGGCCACGAAAGCATGACCCCGATGTTGCCGAGCGGTTCGATGTAGGATGGGGTCTTATGGGAGGCCCGTGATGTCACGAGAGAGGCAGCGCAAACACGACCTCTGAATCCTTCGAATAAGTGGCGGAGCTCAGGCGGACGAAGTGGTTCACTCGCTGGGCTTGGCGGAAAGAAGGTGCCTTGCCTTCTCGTCCCTGGCCTTTTATACTCCCGGCGTCGGTAGCGCGTGATGTCTATTGGCCCCACTCCGCCGCGGCGGCCGGGGCGCCTGCGCGTACCGGGTGGCAAGGGTGCGCGTGCACCCGGGGACCGTTCGCTTCGCAACCTCGCGCTAGCTGGTAGCCGGTTGCTTACATAACGTAGGCGCGGGCGCACTGCGCCTGTCATCGCCCCGCAGGTATTTGGCGGGGCGGCTCCGGCTGGTGTTTTTGCCAGGCATCCGGCCGTGGCCGAGTAGCGCGATGACGATGCCTATTTCGGCCTTGCATCGTTATAAGGTTAATAGGCTTGAATTGTAAACACTGAAGTAAATAATGAAATAAAAACATACGAAATTTGTAATTATCATAACATTTAATTTAACTTACAGGTT